GAACCACGCTCAGGCCTGATCTAAATCTGCTCCCTCCCAAGAAACTCAAATACTTTAAGTTAAATCAATGAATGGTTCTCAACTTGTATGTCTTGGCCCATTGGACCCTTCCCAGGGGTCACGTGAGACCATCAGGAAACACAGACTTTTTGCATTATGATTCATAACAAAAGTTGGGAGGTCACCACAACACGAGGGAGTGTATTAAAGGGTCGAAGCATTAGGAAGGTTGAGAAGCGCTGAGTTAAATTAAGCTTGCCTTACCCTAAATTGACCTAGTAAGATAATATAGTCTTAAAACTAGTGGCTGAAACCTGGCTAATCATGAGTTTTCTGCAAGCCACAGACTACAAACTAAGGAAATATGTTCATTTAAGACACATACCAAACTGCACGCTATCTCTGTCCTTCAGCAGCATCTTCTGACTGTGTGATAGAGTTCTCTGGACCTCCTTCACCACAAGTACCATCTGCTTTGTCAGTCTGTCCCCTGCTCAGATAATCCCTCTTGAATGTGTCTAACATTTTTCTTCCTAAGAGATAGAAGTCAGAAGTGAGATCCACAAGTACCATCTGCTTTGTCAGTCTGTCCCCTGCTCAGATAATCCCTGTTGAATGTGTCTAACATTTTTCTTCCTAAGAGATAGAAGTCAGGAGTGAGACCTCAAGCAGAATTCCAGGAGTGCTGGTGACTCAACAGAGCTGCCTGGTCAGGGCCCATTGTGCCCTTGGCCTCTCCCAGCCACTGGAGGTCAGGGGTGAGTGGGTTCTCTCTTGGATCCTGAACTCCAAAGGAGTGCTGGTGACTCAACAGAGCTGCCTGGTCAGGGCCCATTGTGCCCATGGCCTCTCCCAGCCACTGGAGGTCAGGGGTGAGTGAGTTCTCTCTTGGATCCTGAACTCCACAAACCTGTGTTTTGAGCTCTTTGGGTTGAGTTGAGCAACTCTTAGATTAGACTGGTCTAGAATGAGCTACATCCAGTATCTAACTGCATCAGAGCCATTGGAAGCCTTGGCTGGGTACATTTTGATAATGGGCTTAGCTAATTACAGTCATCTTCTGGGATTCCAGATAATTTTATGTATAAGAATTTTAGACCTAGACTTTATATAAACTAAGGGAAATGCTTTGCTCATTTAGAGATTGAATCATGCTAAAAAGTATCAATGGACCAGACACGGTGGTGCTCCTCTTTAACCCCAACACTGGGGAGGCAGAGGCAGGCTGATCTGAGTTCCAGGACAGCCAGGGTTACATAGAGAGACCCAGGATGAGAAAGCCAGTCTTGTTTGCCTTTGCTTGGGAAGGTCAACAGTGTACCCCAAGGCTTCACTGAAGCCCCCCCACTGTCCCCAACAATGACTGAGGACTTAGCACCCCAAAAGTTTTCTCTGGTCTACAACCAAAAGACAATTTCGAGGCCCTTTTGGGCTTGTAGGATGATGTAGATTCTGGGTTCAGCATGTTTTCTCAGTAGCCTCATCTTTCTCATTAGAAAGAACCACAGCCTTTGTTCTAGGAAGAGACTTGGGGTAGCCCTTTAACCAAATGACATTGGGATCTGGCTCTGGTTTTAAACCTGTTAACCTTACTTGTCCATGAACATGATAGTCATGTAGTTTTATGCCAGAATGTAGCAACACCTATGCCCCTGTGTATTATAATGTACAATTAGAGTAGCAAAGGCATGTCTAAATTATTTAAAAGTACTATCAGCAGCAACCATATTGGCAGAAGCTTCATTCAACGTGGCGTTGGGAGATAAAACTTATTTACAAGTGCTCACATTCTGTGGGAAGTCCACTAAAATCCAACCAGCTATTTTTGATCAGCCGACTAGCAACTCCTGCAACTTTTCTGCCTCCTTCCAATCTCCATCTAAAATGTTGGGTTTTAGACTGCCTCTGTTGTCTTTATCTGGATGATGGTACTTAACCACACATAGTGAGCGAGAACCAAGTCAATCCAGTGACATCACATAAGCAATTACTCAGCCATCAGTGGTGGGTCTCAGGTCTTGGCTATACAAAGCTGGGAAGCACAATATATCTTTTTTTGTTCCTGGTTTTTGTTTGTTTGGTTGGTTTGGTTTTTCCAGATAGGGTTTCCTTGTGTAGTTCCAGCTGTCCTGGAACTCACTCTATAAACCAGGCCTGCCTCTGTCTCCTGAGTGCTGGGATTAAAGGTGTGGGCCACCAACGCCCATCTTAGGTATCTCATGGGTAGGTTTTCTATATTTGGTAGCAATTTCATTGGGTTTTTGTTTTGTTTTTGCTTCTCCCTTCCCCAATGCTGGGAATCCAATCCAGGCCATAGTATATGCTACACAACTGCCTTATTACGGAGCCACAGCCCAGCCCCAAAGTGGGCATTTGCAGGGGTGTGGGTGGGTATCTTGTGCACTGAATTAAGTCTATTTTTTTTTTCTCATTAGATGTGGTTCTGTGCCCTTGCAGCATACAGGAGCTACAGGAAAGTGATTTTTCTCCCTGGACTTTGCTCAGGAGCCCTGTGTACTCATAGGCAAACAATTTTAACTATCTCTGATAAACATTCTCTTTTCCAGCCACTATGGGGGCATGTAGGGCCAGCAGAGAATGTGGGTCCCCTGTCAGGCATCCACAACTGCATTAGATGTTACTCCACTCTCCTGCCTCTCACATTCCTTCCCCTGAAATGTTTTGCCATTTGTTAAATGGGATACACTCTGAGAAATTCATCAGCAGGTAATATTAGGTATGAATACCATAGAACATGTTTATATAGTATATATAGGATAGCCCATAGTATAGTATAGCCCATAAAAGGCTATGTAAAGTGTACATCATGTTACTGTATCTCTACTGCAGGCAAATGTAACACAGGGGTAAGACTGTGTTTATACAAACATAGAAAAGGCACTGAGAAAAACTATTTAAAACTTAAAGGAAGTCAGCAGGAATAGAGGCTGTATAGGGAAAGGATCAGCTCAGGAGACTCAAGACCACGTTCTCAGCACAAAGGAGATTTATTTTCCCCAGTAGGACAGGGGGAATGGACAAAGTCAGGAGATAGAGAAAGAGGGAGAAGGGGAAGGGAACAAAGGAAAAGGAGCAGAGGTATTTGCCTCTGGATAGAGAGGAAACAAACATGGCACATAGGAAAATGGCAGGTTATAAGGGTACAAGGGGAAACTCCATGTTAGGTCGAGGCGTTTAATTTTAATTGGACATGCTAATTAGGTGAGCCAAAGGGGGCTTTTGATTTCTGGCCTTCAATACTTTGATAGCTGGACCTTGGTGGTCAGCCTCAGGAAGATGAAGTGGCCAAATAAGGGAATGGACCTTGGTGGCTAGCTTGAAGAATGGAATCCAATGATTTTTAGCCAGGCAGAGTGACTGGGGGAGAAGCACGAGGCCTGCCAGAGCCATGCCTGCCAATCAATCAGGCTGGAGTCCCTTCAGGGCTGCCGAACCTTTAGTGTCAGTGAGTGAGTAGTGAGTGAATGTGGAGGCCCAGGACTTCTGCACTCCTGTAGACTTTATAGACACCATGCATTTAGTTTACACTAGATTTATTTTTTCTTTCTTCAATAATAATTTCATCTTATCATACTGTAGCTTTTTGCCATCAAAAACTAGTTTTTAAACTTTCAACTTTTTAGAACACTGCTAAAAGCCCAAACTCATACAGTTGCACAAAAATAGTTTCTTTATATCCTTATTATATGAACTTTTTTCTATTAAAAAAATTGAACCAGTCTTTGGTCCATGCTAACCTCAAACTCAATTTGTAGTTAACAATTGCCTTGGACTCCTGATCCTTTTGCCGCCAACCTCTGAGTACTGGGATTAGCAGCATAAATTACCATATCCAACTAAACTTACTATTCTTTTACTCTTTTACTTTTAAAATTTTTCATTAGTAATCAAGACACAAGCTTGGAGCTATTCAGGGATAAACCACCAGTATCCTTGACCTTCTTGGTTCTTCTCTCTAGAAGGCTGCCAGGGTAATAACTCACCCGGAGCTGCCATCTCCTGTGACAATGTCTTCTGCTGGAACCTCTCACGAAGGCCTTGCAACCTATTGAGGGGCATCCTCCTTTCAGTGTGCAGCAGGAACAGTGTGTCATGGTGACTCAGCTCTTCTCCCACAAAGCACTCTTGAACTGCCATGCCAGCAAAGCCGAGAAGCATTGCTTGGAGAAACATCTTTCAAGGGTTCCTGTCCTGCACTGGTGTTCCCACACATCAGCCCTTTTGTACTCGCATCAGAGTATCAAAGTGACACCTTCCCTCCGAGCATCACTCTGTGCTCCACCCAAGCCATTGCTGTAACAGAAAGATGACAAAACTACAGCCGTGATAATTTGCTTGCTTCCCCCTTCCTTTGTCACAGGTTTGCTTGTAAACAGACAACACACCTCGAATATTCCTCAATCCGTGGAAATGTTTGCTCTGGGAGTCACGTGTTCAAACTTTTGAAGATTATTGAGGGCTATAGAAATTTCTGCTAGATTCTGTGGCCCTTCTTGGCCTTCTTCTCTTTCTTGGACTTCTCCAGTTTCCCTTTTCCTCTCTCGTCTCCAGCTCTGTGTCCCTCTTCTTGCGGTAACAAATCTTCATTAGTCACTTCCTCAGGAGCTCCTAAGTGTCATCCTCGGGTCAAGTTTGTTGCCTGCTCAGCTGCAGCTTGTTGAGTTTTGCAAGCTCCTCATCCTTGGTAAACCCTTTAAAACCACGGGCAAACCTCTTGTCTTCTTTCAGATGCCACCCTTAAACTCCTTTATGTTATCACCTCAAATCCAAACAAGATTCTTGATGCAGTCATGGATGTTTTAATTCCCAAAGAGCTGTGTCTGTGTCTTTTCTGTTACAGCAATGGCTGGGGCAAAGCAGAGTGGTGCTTAGTGCAATACCAACAAAAGGGCTGATGCGTGGGAACATCAGTAACAGTAAAGAAATCCTTGAAAGACCTTTCTCCAAGAAGTGTTTCTTTGCTTTGCTGCTGTGGCAACTCAAGACAGCATCGTGGGAGAAGAACTGATTTACATGCTACCAGGTCATTGCCAGGACTTCTGTTTCTGTTGCACACTGGTGGTGCAGGCACATTTGCGCACTTGAAAGCCTTGGGGGCTCTCACTATGCCAGATCACAAAGGGTTTCAGCTTGTAGCCTGCATCAGTTACCCTCAAGCCAGACAGTGATCTGTGTGTAAGCCTTAAATCCAGCATTGACTTGCCCTCCTAAATGGGAAAGTCCCCTCAGGCATCATCACCAGAACAGGGGAATTTTATCTATGTTGAACATTTGCTCTAGTAAGTGAGTTTTCCCTGAAGTCAACTTGCCCAGAGTTTCCAAAATTTCCTCAGCTGTCTTCACATTGGTATTCAGAGACTCAGCATTCTTTTTATTTATTTATTTTAAAGATTTATTTATTAATTATATAGACAGAGTTCTGTCTGCATGTATCCCTGCGTGCCAGATGAGAGCACCTGATCTCATTACAGATGGTTGTGAGCCACCATGTGGTTGCTGGGAATTGAACTTAGGACCTCTAGAAGACCAGCTAGTGTTCTTAACCACTGAGCCATCTCTCCAGCCCAAGACTCAACATTCTTTACACATCACATAGTGAATTATTTTTTTAACCACTTAACTCACCCAGGGCTAATAGTAAACCCAACATCATTGCTTGGTCCAGCCTTTTCTTTCAGTGTTGAATCAACCTTTGTGCCTTGGTTTTGGTTGCCATGGTACTGGCAGGGATATGCCTCTGTGCCTGGTCCTTAGTCCAGATCACTGGAGGTTTCTCCATAAGTTATAGAGGCCCTAGTGGAAATTTTCTTAGTCTCATTGCCTTCTGTGAAGCAGATTATTTAACTGCTTCCATTGCTCTTATTTTTGTTCATCAAGATGGTAACCTTGATTGATGGGACATGACTGACAGCACTGGGTAACCATTACTGCTTTCCCACCTTCATAATCCTTACTGCTTTAGGTCTGTTTCCCCCTAGGTCTCCTGCTGGTGAAACTAGCAGTGGCTCTTGAAGTCCTGATGAGCAATTCAAGATTAAATCAAGCACTATGGCAACTGCTGCAATCCACAGGTACGGGACAGAGGAGACACAGAAGGCTATTGCTGAGTTAACAAAGCCCAATGTATCACAGGAAGCTTTACAACACTTGAAAAAAAAAGCAACAGGAAAAGGGGATATTATACCAAATGCATAAAACAGTAACACAGTCGTTTATTATCATTGTCAAGTATTATGTGCATAGTTGAGGTGTTTGTAACCGCTTCACCACAAATATGTGAGTGATGCTTTCTGCTGCAATCTTACAATCACTATGAGATCACTGGGTGCCAAGAATTTTCCAGCTCCAGGCTAATCTATGAGACCATCGAATGCACGGCCTATCATTGACTGGTGTCAGTATGTGGGGCCTGATTTACTTCTATAACCAGAGCCCACCACTGCCCATAGCTAACTATGAAAGAGAAGAAAGTGTTTTAGATTTCTTTAGTAGAGAAATATTCTAATAGAGTTCCCAGGGGCTCCCCGACTTTTTATTTTATATTTGTTTTTTAGATAGGATCTTACCATGAAGCTCAGGCTGTCCTGGAACCCACCCACCACATAACCCCGGCTGGCCTCAGACTTGAGGCCATCCTCCTGTCTTGGTCTCCTTGATGTGTTATATTCAAGCTTGAGAATCCTGAAGATTTGTGTGCCACCATCCTTTGTTCAATATACAGAATCATTCAAGTAATTGACATTATAAGTTCATGTTTAGTTCCTACTGAAACTAAATGAGTCCATTACAACATTGAGGGAAAGTGGGGTTGGTGTTCAGGGTTTCTCAAAATTGAGGCACAAGTGGTACATTACATTTAGTCCAAAGCTGTCTTCTTCTGTAGCAAAAGGTAACTCTGCAGTATACAGACAAACTGCAACCTAGTTTGAGACTATATTCTTTAACAAGTAGCCAAGTTTTTGCCAGTCATAATAGATGAGTTTTTAATCAATGGTAGACTGCAAAACAATGAAACATGTCCAAATAAAGCAACAACTGTTTCTATATGCCACTTCTGTTTTCTGCCTCAACTTTGGAGTAGAACTTTCCAATCTGCTTTTACCCAGAGTGATATCTGATGGTAAATGAATCTTTCATTCTGCTCAACATGATGCTATTAATGTAATGTGCCTAAGGTTTTCTTTTTAATGATCTGCCTGGCTTGTTGAAGTTCAACAGAGCAAGCTGGAAGTGGCTGCATTGAAGACACATTGCACCATAGCATATCACAGAGATCTTTGGGAATAGCCAGAATCCTATTGCAAGCTTGGAGCTGGCTCCTCACTGGCCCATTCAGAGAACCTTTTCTGGGTACTATAAGCAAGATCAGCAGGCCTGAAAACCAGCTGGGCCCTGTCACATGTACCAGCAGAGAGGGTGTTTACAAACACGATTGAAACGATTGAAACTCCCAAGAATCCTCTAGCTCCTACAGAGGCTACAAGCAGTTCTCTAGGCATCCAGCTACTCACTGGATGGCATCCAGGGGCCAACGGTCAGATGTTACACAACACATCACATGATCTCCCTGCGGCACACATACACAAGCATCCTTTGGCAGCAGTCCTTGCCTTTCATAACCACATTCTTGGACTTGCTTGCGATTTTTTTTTTTTAACAGCCACAACAAATGAATGTCCATGCCTGATGATCCTATTTTGCTATGGAGAAGTGAATCGGCTACTTGTAGGAGCTCAGACGGTGGCAAATGGGGGTATCTGGCCCTGAACATTACAAAACCAGATAAAGACAGAGGAGCTTGGGAATTGTCAAAGAGCACATCTAATGTAGCTAAGGAGATATTTTCAATATTGCATTTTCAGCAATATTTCAGCATGTTCTCAAGAAACAATATAAGCTACTAATTAGAACCAGTTAAATACATAAATAAATAAATATTTGCATAGCTAACCCGAGGGCAACAGGAAACTTAATGCTAGAGTCATGGTCGGGTTCAGGTCTTAACAGCCCTGTCCCTGCCTGCATTCACACCTGCTCTCCTTTAATGAGAAAGAATGGCAGAAACAGGCAGGAACTGAACAAGGGCCAACACTGCATGTGTATACTAGTCAGGCTCTTTACAAAAGCATGGCGTTTGTACAGCCGCACAAGCTGGAGAGGAGCTAGAACAGTGGCAGCGCTTACGAAGCTGGGGGGAAACAAACTTTGGGACTGGGAGGTTAGGGTAGGGTGGGTAACAATGCTGAAACAATGCAGAAGCATCCTCCAGGGAACCAGAACCAAGGGCACACACACCTACGTCTGAGAGCAGGTAGGGGACCAGTCGGCATGCATTCACGGCATTCTCCAACATTGTAATTCCACAAGTAATCCAAGGAGTAAGCATTGCTTTGATTGACCTTTCCATGAGGTGCAAAGACCTGTAGGTACAGGCCAAGGTGGAAAAACAAAACAAAAGGATCTACAAAAGCTGTAAGAGAAGTGAGACATTTGTCATAAACCGAGGCTGCCAGTGCCTCTGGCCATCTTGAACTGGGCAGGCAGAGATTCTTGTCTAACTAAGATTGAAAAGCCTGAAAAATGAAGCAGGAGGTGGTGCCCTGGAGAGCCTCATAGCTTCAGAAGTGTCAGTAAAGCCTCGTAAGAAACTCACTGGCCTGCCATTACAGGATCCGACTTCATTTTGAGAAAGCAACAGAGAAACATATTCACGGTCAGTAAGAGCTGTAAGAGGGGTGGTGGTCATTTTGTAGATCATAAAAGACCTTGACCAACAGCAGGTCAGAGAGAGGAGGCTGGGATAGGTTTTTTTCAAGAGTTTCTTAACCTCTAGGCCTTCCCTCCCATAGGTATATGTTGCCAGGAACGCTCATCCATCTCTCCTTTAATTGGCAGCCCCAAACAAGGCCTTCATTATCAAACCTCATAATGAGTTGTGCTAGCCCTGCCTTGTCCAGTTCTTCACTGTTCTTGGCCCAATTTTTGTCTGATCCCTGACTCTTGGTGATGTTTTATGTAACCATGAGCCTACTTGCTGCTTAGGGACTTGGTGTGATTAATGGTCTTAGGACATAGCCCCTTGGCACTGTTGAGGCAAAAAACTCACAACCCTCACTTTGAAGGGAATAAAAGATTTTATTTTGGAGCCAAATATATAAGTGGTGGTGGCCCAGGATTCAGGTTTCCCCGGATACCACGTTCCACAGTGGAGGTGATTTCAGGAGAGGTTTCATTAGTCACAGAACAAGGCCATAAATCAGGGGATTTGGGGAATACACGGGTGGGAGCCCCAAGTAGGTGGTTTATAGCAAGTAGGAAAATTCTAGGTTGCAGATGCCATCTGATGAAATTCTTAGCTTTGAAGTGTGGGAAACAGTGGCTTCCTTGAAATAATTTTAAAGATTCTGGTAGTCACAGGATGTTTTCTCTGATGTAGAGGTGGATAATGAAAGATTTTCAGAAGAATTCAGAGTGGCCTAAGATATTTTGGCTTTGGCCTGCTGTTGGGTCTCAATCCTGGACAAAGGGCTTAGGAGCCTACTTAACATATCAAAGTAGACCTGCATTTGAATCTCCCAGCATTCGTCCCTATCTGTTACAAGGTCCTCCGGTTGGCACACCCTTTCCCCTATCCTAAAGTTCTACAGCTGAGGTGTTTGGCTGGACTTCCCTATACTGTTAGTATTCAGGCATCTGTACTGGCCTGTTCTTGGGGTTCTGACAGGCTGTCCCTTCAGTTAGTATTCAGGCATCTGTACTGGCCTGTTCTTGGGGTTCTGACAGGATGTACCTTCAGCTGCAGCCACTAAGAGCACCATCTGTGCACATTCACTATGTTCCCTTTTAAAAGGGCCCTGCCCACCTCCCATCTCCCTCCTCCTCCCTCCCTCCCTGCCTCCCTGCCTCCTTGCCTCTTTGCCTCCTCCCTCTGCTTCTCTACCTCTCTCTCTGTCTCTCTCTCTCTGTCTCTCCCTCTCGTCTGATATGGTATATTTCATTCTGATCTCCTCTATTCTTCCCCCAACTCAACATTTCTGCTACTCCATGTCCTCCTCCCCTCCCCTCCCCTCCCCTCCCCTCCCCTCTCCTCTTCTCTTCTGCTGTCCCCAGGGGGGGGTCTCCCCTTGCTACTCCCACTTTGTCCATTCACTTTCCCCCAATAAAAACCCCTCCATCCAAGTTCTGTCTCATGGCATCTTTCTCTACTGTGCTGCTTTTTAAAATCACAACATTGGTTCCCTGACCTGGAAAGGCTCTCCTGGCATTTCCTTCTGCCCCAGGCAGTTTGAGGCATGCTGGGGCCCTGGAACCCAGGCCATACTACAGCCTCAGCCTCACTTATCTGGATCACTGGGTTCCTCTATCCAAAACCTGAAGATTGGTGAGCCATTCCCCCTTTCCCACCTCAGGCTCATCTCATGGTTTTTCGAATTTTGACCTCATTAAACCCTGGTACCAGGCAACCACAGCTCTTT